AAATGCATTCATACAGTACAGCATTTAGTTGGGTTGCTTGATATATTCAGACTTAGATTACAATGAAATATTGGCATACTGCATTGAGAGTGGCTTTTCAGTAAAGACAAATCATTAGTAAGTTGGTATGATGAGTTAATCATCAAATCATGTCCGCAAAGGTAACAAAGAAACAAAAAAATAGCCACAAATTTTCTAAAATTCTTTCATATTTGATCTTAGAAACCATCTCTGTTCAGATATTTGTGAACTTAGATTTTTTTTATTATTGTGATTCACATATTAAAAACTTGTTCTATGTTGAAGGTCTCATATTGGATTTAATTTGTTTGTGCTAGACTATTCATTTTGAAATTTATATGCATGAATTGAATTGAGCTCAAATTCATGCATGCAAACTTAGATAATCTTATTTTCGATCATAAATTTATGTGCGTGAATTTTGAATTTTGAATATTTGATCCATTGCATGTCATATAAAGAGATAACTGACAAATTTCATGATGAGAATGTCAGATTATTTTTACAATATTTTTTTTAATGTATGTACATCATTTTACGTGTCATTTCATCGCTCAAATAATGGAGCATGCATGAAAGTTGATGAAAATTTATATTGACTTGATGTCTAGTGCTGAGAATTCATTTGAATTAAAGACCTAACCCTATGTATATTTAGGATTGATTCAAGCCCTATTCTTTGTCCAACCAAACATTAAACTAGCATTTGTCGTCGGCAAGCTACTCCACTTGAACGTAAAACTCTGGGCTATTCTCGAGACATGAACAATGCGACGTCAATATTAGCGTCTCACTGTTCACAAACATCATTTTTTTCGGTTTGGGAAAGAATATACCCACTTTTTTTTTTTTTTTTTGAAAAAGAGTTCGATTGGAGATGAATTACAACAATTTGGAGTGATATTGTATTTTGGAGTCAGAAAATTAATTTTTCAGTTGGAGATGCCCTAAGAGATCAGTCTTACATCTTATATTTTGACATAGTTTTTTTTTCTCGTATCTTTCTAAATGTTAATTAGCCAACTTGGTATGTCATCTGTAAATTTCATTTGCTCAAAATAATTAAATCTTGAAGCACATAAATATTTGAGAAAAAAATTTCAAATTAATTGCAAGATCATTCAAAATTTCTTTTTAACCAAATTTATAGTCTAAGTTAAGACAATTCAATGAGAAGAACACAATCAATCAAAAAACGTGATAGTAAATTTTTCAAGACCATTTTGTGACGACACAAATCCGACTAGTTTAACATCATTTCATTTTGAATTTATTAAGGCATTGAGATACATGAAATTTATCAAATGATCAACGAGGACTTTGTTGAATCATCCTACGAAGTGTTCAAATTTTTAGTAAAATTGATTAGAATGGCCTCTCCTTGAATCTATTAGTAGTTCTTATTCCTATATATTTAGATTTAACTTTTGTTGCTAGAAATTCAAAGCTCTGAACCTTTCCTGATTGCTTAATCTTCCCTCCGATTCAAAGTGCAATGGCATCAACTTCGGTCAACTAAAAAAAATATCCATCTTTGATCCTTCATATTTGTCTTATATTTAAAAGAAATTATTACATGAAGAGTCCGGACGTAGCTATATGTCTGGATTTCCAATTAAATGAAGATAGGTGGATTCTTTTTTCTAGCATGACCCAACGACCTAGCCCGACTCAAAGTGTGTATATACACAGAGTATGTTCAAGAGGGTCAAGTCGTCGGGTCATGCTAGGGCTACGTGTCTTTTCTTAATTGAAGTCCAGATATAGAGCTGCGTCCAGACTTCACACATAATAATTTCTTTACACTAACATCCACTTCACTCATCATTGATTCTCACCATAAGTAAACTTTAACATTTTTCTTCTATGATTGATTTCTATCATTCTCCACTATTTTCAAAAGAGAAAATTCTTAGTAGTTTAGACCTTTAACTCATCTCTTCAGCAATAAAGAACATATCATTATCATATTCCAAAATTATTTCAATCGAGTCTAGTGATTTTTTTTTTTCTCTGTCAAAATTTCTCCATAAAGAATTTTGTGCCTCCTATTTATCCCTGTATGTTTGAGATTTTGGTTATGATTAAATAAAATATTGTGATTTTTCATGATAACTTTTTGGTTGTTTTCTAAAATAACATTTTAGTTGAATTTTTTTTAATTAAAAAGTTATTTTAGAGAGTAATAAAACATATATCCCAAATAAAGTCTTAATCCTTCTTTATAAAATCTAATTTCTAATAGAAAAAAAAGGCAACATATATTTTGATTAGATTACATCTTAAAGCTTTTATAATTGCCTCTAGAAGATTGGGATTCATACATGATTAATAAAAAATTAATCTCAAAGAAAATATAAAAACTTTAGGATCATCCTATTTACTTTTTAGCTAAAATATTCTAATATAATTTATTTATTTTTTTGTTGGGTTTTCACGCGAGTCTATTGCTTTGTTGCTTTGCTTTGTGGCCTTGGTTGGTGGGTGGTGTTTGGTACATTGGGTTGTTTTTGTTCTGAATGAGGTATTTGATTTTTATTGGTGGACAAGGGGTTTTAGGTTGCCTGGTGGTTATTTGAGATTTTTTTGTTGTGGTTTAATTTCTTTGCAATTATGCTGGCTGGTTGGCTTGGTTGGTGTTTCTCATGGTCAGACTATATGATGAGTCTGATTTCCTACACCCCACCTGGTCTAATGGCCTTGGTTTGTTTTGGCAACCTTAATAGCTAATTCATATGCTCAATCTTCATGAATTTGTTTGGTTTTGGGGCTTCTTGACGTTGTATCATCTGCCTCCAATGGATGGTTCAAGTTTGACCTCTGGGTGGAGATCTGAGTCTGATTGGCTTAAGGGCCTTTATTTTCTCTCATTTTAGATTATTTTTCTCTTTTAATTGTTTTGTATTCTACTGCTTATTTTGATGTTTTAAACTTTGTATTTTTATTTTTTGGCCATTTTTGGCCAATGTTGTATGTCATTTCTCATCTTTGGAATAAAATAGCATTTTGGTTGAAAAAAATTAGAAATGATCTTTTTTATTAGATTTAAATAAGAATCTGACTCTTATTAAAACACAATAGAGAAAAATGATTCATGTATATGAGTGGCATAAAGACTTGATAATATTATTGTTGTATAATTATGGATACAATAATAATATGATCCTCCATATATATACAAAATTATAAAGTTCTACATTTTGAGTGGTTGAAGACCAGCTCCCAAAAATTAAAAATTTATAGCACAACCACTATCAATTTTGTCATGCACAAGCATAGCATTGGCGTACTCCAGAACCTAACCTGCTAACCTAATCACCTAACACTAATTTCTAAGCCAGCATGAATTAAATTATCATTATATTCTGATATAATTTTTATTAATAGGAGTTTAAAAATTAATGAATTTATGTCGAAATTAATGTTATATATGAATAATTCATATTACATTAATTTTAAAATAAATTTAATAATTTTCTAAGTTTGTTTAATTTAATATAAAATATGTAAAAATATTCTTGCATAATTTTTTCATTGAGTACTCTACAACCTAATCAGCTAACTAATCTGAAAATGACTTGCTTTCTTTTTCTTTATTAATTAAAATCACTCGTTCACATATAGGAAAAAGGACGTTGGAAGTTAGAATCTCACATGCTGAACCGCTTCATTGCCACGCAATATTTTTTTTTTTAAGTTGGCAGGTTATAAGATTTTTTTGGTAGTGCAACCAATGAGCCACACCTCTCAACCCCCACAAATCTTATTCCAAGAAATTATTACGTGTGATCACCGGAAGCCGTTTGGAGACGAATCAGGATGTGTCACATCATCATTTTGCTGTATATCGCAGTTGTGTAATACTATGTACCGAGTGACGTAGCGCATCATGATTCGCCTCAGGACGATTCAGCGATCACACATAATAATTTCTCCTTATTCCATTTGGTAAACTTTTATTCATTCCAATTTTTCAAAATCGCAGTGTCATATTGTTTTACCCATTTTAAAAAAAATTATAATTTAATTTAATATATTACTTTTCAAAAAAAAATACAAAATACATGCTGGTTGCCTTCGGGTATTATTGGTTAACTTAAATGAATTATGAAAAAATATTTCAAATTGCAACAACTCAAGTTCGATTCGAGGCAGCAATCAAAATAACTCATTTTGTACAGTAAAATTATTTAATTAAGACTAATACTACTTGTTTTTTCAACTTAAAATTATTCAGAAGAATTTTTTCAAGCCAATTTTGAATCAAAATAAACAAGAATCTTTTTTTTTTTTCTTGTTTTTTAATTTTGTATTTTAATTTAACATGATTTATTATAAAATAATAATAATAAATTTTATTTTTTTTTAATTGTTGGGTATAAGATAAATGAAAGGTAATCTGTTTTCAATTAAATCTCATATTTATTCTATTTTAAACATTTAATTCTTTGGTTGACCAAGTTGCAAAATGTTATATCCACAAGATTTAGGCCTATTTACAACAGTGGGTTGACTTCTTTACATTTTTTATGCTTTCACAGTACTTTTTTAAAATCTTTATGATGAGTCGTTGCATCGCCCTAGTAACTTTATTCGAGCAGGTTTTCAAAAATTAAATAGGCGAAATTTCGAAGTATTGGTATATCAATGGGATCAATGATGTTCAAGGATGACAACAGAAGCAACAATATATAAAGGTTGCGACGGGATCGAAGTGTGCTAAGGCGAGTAATGGATCGGAAGCATGTGAAAGCGTGTGAAATTGCAACAAGATTTGGACAACTATAATTGGTATTTTTATAGATATTCAAATAATAAAATTTTTGTATAATTTCTGTTTGAAACATTTAGACTAAATAAGATAAATACATATAAACAATATATATATATATATATATATATATATATATATATATATAGAAAAACTTCTAAAAAATATTTAAATTCCTAAAAAATATTTAAATTTTCAATTTCTCTTATACCGTAACAATATTTACATAATTACATACACGACACTGCCCTAGAAACGGGATAATACTCTGTTTATAAAATGATTTTTTTTTTAATCTATGAAATTAAACCGGAACGGAATCAACAGGCTTGGGCGAGAGAACCCAATGCTCGCCGTGAGGCCGGACTTTAAGCCCTTTAGCCTTAGAAAATAGCGTGACGGCGCGGCGGACGCCGTGATCGTCGGCCGCGGTGTAGTAATCATGGCCGAAGAGGACTCCGCCTGGTCGTAGTACGGCATAAGCCATGTTTATATCGGACCACGCGGAATGAAAATCATGACCGGCGTCAACCTCGATTAGGTCTCCGTAGATACCCCATTCGCAGAGCGCGGCTAGACCTGAGCTGGTAGAGAAAGGGACAGGGAGGATGCGGTGGGTCTCGCCGGCTGCGGAGACTCCGAGCATGAACTGGTGGAGGAGAAGCGAGTCGGCGTGGTGGGGGATGGGTACGTGGCGGCCGAAGCGGGAGCGGAAGGCGGGCCAGCCGCGGAAGTCGTCGAGGCAGAGGATGAGTGAATTAGGTAGGGAGAGGTTGCGGGTTAGGGAGGCCATGTGAAGAGCGGAGGCGCCGAGAAAGGTGCCGAGTTCGATGATGGTGAGGGGGCGGATGGTGGAGATGAGGTCGGAGAAGACGGGCTTGGTGGAGCCCCAGCCGCGGGGGTGGGCTGCGGGGGGGAGGAGCAGGTTGGCGGTTTCAGGGGAAGGGAAGTCGGAGTAGGGGGAGGTGTTGTTGAAAAGGCGGTTGAGGAGGGTGGGGAGAACGCGGTCGTGTGGGATCGGTTTTGCGCAGTCGGTGTGGAAGCGGAAGAGGTCGTGCGGTGGAGACAAGGAGCAATTGGAATCTCGGATGTGGGATTGTAATTGAGGGTTTACAGATGAAGTGGAGGATGGAGAGGAGAGGAGGCCGGCGATGTAGCCGAGGGAGAAGAGGAGGAGGATGACCGTGGCGGATGGGAGGTACCGGCGGAGGGGAGGGAAAAAAGGAAGAGCAGGCGGCGGGGATGACCGGGAGGAGTCTTTCATCGACTGATTATTTATTTGGTCTTCTGTTCACCGCATACTGAATCGATTGATTTCTTGTGCTATATAGCGATGTGCGGTGTGGTAAATCAAGTAAAAAGCTCTTCCGACTTAGAGCTTCTGTAGCGTGAAATGGATTCGAATACTGGGCTCGGATGAAAAATAAGAGAAAAGTATGCGTCGATACGAAGACTGAAGTCGGTTGTGGAGAAAGGCAGCTTGGCAGCAGCTGCTAAGAGCATATGTGTATGACGTTGTTCGGTCATTTCAGGCGAACGTCAAATCTTCCGTTATTTACTTGCGGGTTAATAGTACGTTGTCAATATTGACTTCGCATTGTTAATCAACGCCATTTTTCTGTCTCAATCAGATTTGCGGAAGAAACACGCCAAAGAGGAGAAAGGCCGTTACCTTCGCAGAAGCCCCCATAATGGAGTCCGATTGGAATGAAAATGGGATTTTAGGTTGGAGATGCACTACTATTTGTGATGATTTAATTCCAAGTTTCTATATTTTCTCAAGTTTTTGAGATTTCAATAAAGCAGAGAGTAAAATGTGGGGTCCTTCTCCATGAACCAACCTATCAATCGGCAAGGAGGCAGCACATGTTCCTGTACCTGGAAGAATAAAACTGGGCAGTTATTTACTTATTTTGGGTCAGGTTTCTTCCTGGCCACGACTTTTGGGTCTAGTTATTTTATAATTTCAATTGGGTTTGCTAGCCTAATATTTATGAGAACAAGATTGATAATGAAATACGTACTCTCTGTAAGTGGCTGTTGGTTCTTTATTGGATGGTCATGGATGATAAAAACTGGGAATTCAAGAATTTTTTTTTCCCGGCATGAGTGCTTGTTCGGAATGTCTGATCTGACTAGAAGTGGCTGGTTGTTTTTATTATGTTTGTCATAAATTATCAACTCAAATGCCAATATTAGTATTATTTTGTGTAATGTTTGTGACAGTAGAGATATAGAGATTAACATTTTAATTTTATTTGAGGATCTAACACATAAATAAAATTAAAAAGTGCACAAATTATGAAAGATATTAGAGTTTGACATGATAAATTAGGAAGAGGAAAATATCACTAGATTTGACCCACTTAAAATAATTTCACTATTATATGTCATCAATTTGAAATGATGTATTTTATTGGGGGAAGATATTGATTCAATGTAATAAACATACAATTTATAACATATTATATAATTAAAGTTAAAAGAGTCTTGTGTCATGGGAATTATCCTTAAGATATTATTTGATTATTTTATTAGTCGTACTCCTTTGAGAAAGAAATATTGGAGTTGATGTCGGAGTCTGAGTAGGCATTGATGGCTTGCATTGATAGTAGGTGAAGAAATTAGCTGGCGTCAATGTAGCAAGATGACAGTAGTTAGAGAGTCATTGTTAGGTAATGGTAATAGGAGGTTCGTAGTAAGGCCACAACATAATTAGGCAACAATGGTCAAAGGACTGTAGTCAGCCAACGAAGGTCAGAGAACTGTAATCAAGCAATGACATTAAGAGGATTATCATCGGACAATGTGGTCGAAGGGCTGTAGTCTAACAATTATTGTCTGACAATGACGATGGGGGTGGTGGCCCGACAATGAAGATTTGGCGGTGGTTTGACTATTATGGTCGGACGGTGGCCTGATGGTGATGCTCCACTGGAGCTTTAGGATTCTTAGAGCCTCTGAGCTATTTTGATATCTCATGCCAAATTTCAACCCCACCCTCTCTATGTGACCCTATATAGAGAGCGGGGACTTATTTATAGAGTATTTAGAATGATATTTTAAATATATCCAAAATCTAAAACATTTCCTTAGACGACATGTATCTCTCAAATATAGATTGTTACTTTAGCATTTAAGTGTTTTAATGATGTTGGAATTGAATAATCTTGTTCATTTAATTCATCTCATCAAGGCAATCATTTTGAATATAAGCATTTGAGATTCATATATTATTTTATCATACGAATTAATATTTTGAATTTTTTAATTCTACTTCAAGTGCTTGATCTAGGCTCATTCAGATTCGGATTAGACCTTCTAACATCATTGTGTTCATCTTTTGAGTTATTTAGTTAGATTGTAGTTTTGAAATCACAACTTGAATGGTTCTTAATTTAATTTTCTAAGTTTATAATACAAATATGTATCGAAATTCATACATGATCAAGATGATTTCTAATTGATACGTCATCAAAAATTGTCTTGATTGAGCACAAATCTCGAGGCACACCAAAGTTGGAAACTTCTAAATAAAATTTAGGATCATCAAAACTCTGATTTCAGCAAGTTTATGATCAAACTGAGCATCTCGAGAAGATGAAAACGATGACACCAAATTCAATATAGTCCGAGCCCAAATGAGCCCAAATCGAGGGACCAAAACACTCTTTGAAGGTTCAAAGTATTAATTGGATGACCAAATGATATTCGAATGTAACATGCGTATAGTCAAATCAGGTGACTCGACGAAATGAATCCAATGAGCTCAAGAATGCTTAATTCTGACATCATTAAGACACATAAATGTTGAATAAACGTTCTATGATGGAAGGAATCAATATCGGTCGTCCATTAGAACACTTTCAATTTGCCCTTGATCTTCTCCAGATTTACTTGTCATGTTACTCCCATGAAACTATAAATAGGCCCTTATTCTTGACATAAAAGGGGGAGGGAAAGAAAAATAGAAAACTTGAGGAGCTCTCTTGCTGCTGACCACCGCCGGATCTTTTCCTGACCACCAACTGACGCCGGACTTCATCCCATTTTTCGACTACCTTCGGATCTCTTCCTGACCACTGACCGCCGTTGGGCTTCAACCCGATCGTTGACCATTGTCATATCCCTTCCCAACCATCGACCGTCGTCGGGCTTCTGCCTTTTTGTCGACCACCACCGGATCTCTTCCCGGCCATCAACTATCATTGAACTTCCACCCCTTCGTGGGCCACTGCATTATATCTTCGTGATTACCAATCGGCGCTAAATTTTTGCATGTTTTGTTGGATATCGTTGGATCTCTGACTGTCTTCATACCACTGTTGAACATTCTCCTAACTGTTGACACTGGATTTCTGATATATATTGTATCCATCTTAAGTTTAACAAGATCTTCAACATAATATATTCACATTGACCTTGAGTTGAAGGATGGGATGACTTATGTAATATATTTAAATAATAGTGTAATCTTTTCAAATGGGCAAGACACAATGATTTTTCCCCTTTTAGGATTTTCCACTTAAAAGTTTTGGTGTTCCTTTATCTTTTCAATTATATATTTGTGTGCTGAAGTTTCATATATCGCTCAGACGTAAATTCTTACCACTCTATCCCGGAGAATTTATCAGCCCTCAACACTAATGACACATCCAAAACCCTTCTTGATAGATGATGATAAGGAAGTAAAAAATTGAGGGAGGACGCCACGATTATTGTTTTTATGATGACAGTTCTCTAAATTATTGGATTTTTACGAATATGAATATATTAGAATGCATCAAGATAGTACAGAGTGGTGGACGATGGAATTTTGTTTGTGAGGTGCTTCTCGAAGGTGGTAGTGTTTGTTCTGCTACCACCAGTGATTGTATTCCTCTCTAATAGGGCGAATTATTGCATCCGAAAACTGGATGTCCGGACATTCAATCCGGTGACGCCACGTCACCCAAATACGTACACTAGGTTCTGATGTATTTGGGTGATGTGGCGACACTAGATTGGTGTCCGGACGAATCCGGACACCGGACGCGATAATTTGCCCTCTAATAGACATACAAAGATGAGATCCTGAAATTAGGGCTGCAAGCGAATCAAACGTTCGACGAGCTACTCGTTGTTCGGTTCGATTAAAGCTCGTTTGAGATCGTTTAATTAACTAAACAAACAAACTTGAACAATATTTTAAATACTCGATTCTTAAATAAACAAACTTGAACACTAATGCGTTCGGCTCATTTATGTTCGCGAACAACATCATTTGAAGTTCGTGAACAAGCTCGACATTAAGCTCGATAAAAGCTCGATTCGTGTTCGATTTTGAACTCGTGAATAAGCTCGATGAAAATAATTAATATTTGACTATATAATTAATAAATATAAATAATCATTGCCTTTGTTATATAAACAATTGCTTTTATTATAAATGTGTTTGTTCGTATATATGTTCATGAACGTGTTTGTTTGATAGTTAAAAAAATTAGTTAAATATGCTCGCAAACAAGCTCGATAAACACTAAACGAACGAACATGAACTGAACATGAACCGAACATGAACACTCCTTAATTTAAATGAACCAAACATGAACACAAATGCTAAAGCTAGAACAAACATGAACCAAACATGAACAAGTTGATATTAAATGAACACAAACATAAACACTCACATACTCGGCTCGGCTCGGTTCGTTTGCAGCCCTACCTGAAATAGAACAAGAGGTTAGACCAGGTAGCGAGACGTTCAAAAATTAAAAAATAAAATGTACCATCCTTGATCTCTGCCAAACAACAGAAATTTATATTCTGATTCTTCGACAATGTAAAATAACAAACAGGCTTTGTTTTTTTCTAGCCTTCTACGCCGGTCTTGCGGTCTTAAATTTAGTTTCGTTAGCATATAGGTCTCAGTAGAGGTGCAAATGAGTCGAGTCAAGAGGTGTTTGAGTCGAGCTCAACTGTCAAATGCAGAGCTCGAGCTCGAACTCGCGTCGAGCTCAAAATCCTAGCTCGAGCTCGACTCGTCTTCATGTCGAGCTCAAAATCCTAGCTTGGGCTCGACTCGTCTTCATGTCGAGCGGCTCGTCGAGCTCCCCTGTCGAGCTCATAGTCATGTCCGCTATCAAGCTCCGCCGTTATCATCCTGAGCTCGTAGTAGTGTCCGTTGTCTTCTTCCTGAGCTCTTCCGCCGTCGAGTGCTCAACCGTCATAGTCTCGTCCGTCATCGTTGTCCTGAGATCGTCCGCCGTCGAGTGAGTAATCGTAGAGTGCTCGTCCATCATAGTCTCTCGCGCCATCGTAGTCCTTAGCAAGTTCGTCGTCGTCATCCTGAATTTACATTTCCCGCTCGCATTTTGGATTTCCCGCTCGTGTTTTGGATTTTCAGCCCGCAAGCTTCATCGATGAGTGCTCGTCCGTCGTAGTCGCACCTGTCATTGTCGTTTTGAACGCGTTCAGTGTCCTCGTCCTGCGCTCATCCGCCATCGTCGTCCTGAATTTTTATTTCCCGCTCGCGTTTTGGATTTGCCGCCTGCAAGCTTCCCCGTCGAGCTGCTCGACAAGCTGCCGAGTCGAGTTGCTCGACGAGCTCAATAAGCCGTTGAGCTCGAAATCATGTTCAAGCTCTACTCGCATGCTCGATAAGCTCGACTCGTCGAGCATGTTACCAAGTCGAGTCTATGCTGGCTCGCGAGTCGGCTTGACTCGTTTACACCCCTAGGTCTCAGTGATCTTATTTTTGGGAATATTCAAACCGCCCAATCTGGACGTCGATAAAGGAGCTCCTACGCCCACATCATAAGACGAAGCGAAGTCATTGCCTCTAACGAATTGCAGTTGCAGCCCCTTAAAGTCACCTGAGGAAAAAGCCAACGAATGCTGAAATCAATTGTTACCATGGGAGCAAGAAACGTCGATCTGAACCACCAACCAACTTCTTGGCCAAGCCTTTGTTGCCAACCGTATATTATATCACGAATCAATGATTATCAAATAAAGAGCAGAGCCGATACGCA